GCGAGATTAGTAATTGATCTATCGGCATTTCAGCTCCTGGGAGGGATATTGTAATCACAGGAGCAACTTTAGAAAAGTTATTTTGTCGTTAAATAAAAAGTGGTCTTATAATTCATTAAAATAATTGTCAATTTTTCCTACTGATTAGTATGTGTGAAGTTCATTACTACATATTTTCCCTGTCACCCCCTGTGACATGCTCCTAGATGGTCTGACAGCTGGCATGCCCCAGGGAGGTGGCGGGTATAGCCTCATACCATTTCTCTAGCCAGACACACAAGCTATTTCAGCTCTGACCTTTGTTCACTCACCCTTGACATCTACATCAAGTGGCAAGGCTAGGCATTCCTTGTCCTTGCTTTGGTTCACATCATCCAAAATGTATTGACAAGTCAATTCTACTGTTTGGAACAAACCAAGTTCACAGAATTGTTATAAATAATGAAAGAAAAGAATTCTTTTCACATTAAGGGGGCCCCAATCTCATTGTTAATATCAACAATCCCAGTCTTTTAGGGTTATGAAAAACCTGTTGTGTCCTGGTGAGGCAGACAATGCTTGCTTAATCTTAGATAGCTTTCAGCAAAAATTAATTTACTAACATACGAAAAATACAAACAAAAATTTAAGATTATATTCCCCCCACTGAGGCTCAAATGAAAAATGCATACAAAATATTTTTATACCTTCTTTTTTTCTTTAAAATTGATTTAAAATGCCAGTTTATTCTTTTGGAAAGATCAGGATATATTCTTTTAAAGACAAAGACTGGAAAAGAATATAGAAATTTTAAAGCTTTCTCTATTAAATTTGAAATGGTGGAAATGCAGGTACTTTATTTTACTTTCCATTATTATTTGGTAAATAAAAAAAAAACAACAAATGAGGAAAAATAAAAACCATGTTTTGATAATAATATAAAACTTGCCTCTGGCTGTTTTTTCATTTAAAGAGAAAATTGTCTTTTTCTTTTAAATGGAAAAGCTCAATTATTTATTAAATTAAAAAAATTTGAGTATAGTTGGTATACAATATTATGTTAGTTTCAGGTATACAGTACAATGATTCACCATTTATATACCTTATGATGTGATCAAAGTAATGATTAGTAATCATCTGTCACCACGTGAACTTAATTACAATATTATTGACTTAATCACAATATTATATTCCTTTTCACCTCTTTCACCCATCCCCCTCCCCCCTTCCCTATCTGGTCTGGCAATCATCAGTTTGATCTCTATTTCTATGAGTCTTTTTATTTCGTTTTATTCATTTGTTTTCTTTCTTTTTTAGATTCCACATAGAAGTGAAATCATATGGTATTTATCTTTCTCTGTCTGACTTACTGTATTTCATTTAGCATAATACCCTCTAGGTCCATCCATGTTTTTACAAATGGCAAGATGTCATTCTTTTTATGGCTGAATAATATTCCATTGTGTATATAAACCACATCATCTTTATCCATTCATCTATCAGTGGACACCTAGGTTGTTTCTGTATCTTGGCTATTGTAAATAATGTTGCAATGAACATAGGGGTGCACATATCTTTTCAAATTATGTAGTGTTTTTGTCTTCGGATAAATACCCAGAAGTGTTGGGTCATAAGGCAGCTCTGTTGTTTCTTGAGAAACCGCTACACTGTTTTTCACAGTGGCTACACCAACTTGCAGTCCCACCAACAGTACATAAGTTTCTTTTTCTCCACAACTTTGCCAACACTTTGTTGACTTTTTTTATAATAGCCATTCTGACAGGTGTGAGATGGTATCTCATTGTAGTTTTGATTTTCATTTCCCTGATGATTAATGATGCTGAGCATCTTTTCATGTCTGGCCATCTGTATGTCTTCTTTGGAGAAATGTCTCTTCATGTCCTCTGCCCATTTTTTAAATTGAATTATTTTTTATTATGATTGAGTTGTATGAGAAGCTAAATAATTTAAATAATGCTATAGTGGACAATAGTTGGTGACAAAGTTAATGGAGTTAGTTGTTGGATCCTAACTTATTTACCCCTGAGTAATTCTCTATTAACAGAAATTGTAAGGCATTAGACTAAAAAGATTTCCAAATGTAGTAATTAAAAACATGAAGAGCTGTTGCCACTTGTGACAACATGGATGGACCTAGAGGGTATTATGATAAGTGAAATAAGTCAGAGAAAGACAAATACCATATGACCTCACTTACATGTGGAATCTAAAAACAAAACAAAAACAAACTCACAGATATAGAGAACATTTTAAAATATATATATATCTTTATTGATTTCAGAGAGAGGTAGAGAGAGGGGGAGAGAGAGAGAGGAACATCAATGATGAGGGAATTATTGATCAGCTGCCTCCTGCACGCGCCCTGCTGGGGATCAAGCCCTCAACCTGGGCATGTGCCCTGACAGGAGTCCATTGGCAATCTCCTGGATCCTACGTCAATGCTCAACCACTGAGTCAGGCAGGCTGACTGGACTGTAATTTTTTTTTTAATATATCTTTATTGATTTCAGAGAGAGGTAGAGAGAGGGGGAGAGAGAGAGAGGAACATCAATGATGAGGGAATTATTGATCAGCTGCCTCCTGCACGCGCCCTGCTGGGGATCAAGCCCTCAACCTGGGCATGTGCCCTGACAGGAGTCCATTGGCAATCTCCTGGATCCTACGTCAATGCTCAACCACTGAGTCAGGCAGGCTGACTGGACTGTAATTTTTTTTTTAATATATCTTTATTGATTTCAGAGAGAGAAAGGGAGAGGGAGAGAGAGAGAGATAGAAACATCAACGATGAGAGAGTCATTGATCAGCTGCCTCCTGCACACCCCTGACTGGAGATCGAGCCTGCAGTCCGGGCATGTGCCCTGACTGGGAATCGAACCCTGATCACCTGGATCCTAGGTCTACGCTCAACTGCTGAGCCAAGCCTGGCTGGGCTCGACTAATTTTTTAAAATGAAGAGCTGGCAAATGTTTTGTTACATTCACGTAAGTCCAATAGTTAGCACATCTAATTAGATACGCAGTCTATTTTTACATCTGAAGTGATATAAATAGTATGATCAGGAAAATGTCTTATGGATCTAGTAGCCTGGCCTTCCGTCATGTTCCTCCAGCAAGTCACCAGGGTTTACATCCAGCACCTGCCCCCTTCTAAAAGCCCTATCAGCAATCGTGCACCCGTGCACTTTCTTCTTTTAACTGAGATAATTACAGAGTCACGTGCAGCATAAGAAATAATTCAGAGAGCCCTGGCCGATGTGGCTCAGCACAGGCCTAGGTTTCGGGTTCAGTCCCTGGTTGGGGCCTGTTCAGAAGGCAGACCATCGATGTTTCTCTCTCTCCCTCTCTCTTTTCCCCCTCCTCTCCAAAATCAATAAAAACACACACACATATATATACATTAAAAAGTAATAATTCAGAGAGATCCCTGCTACACTTGACCCACTTTTCCCCATTGGGACATTTTGCAAGATCACAGCTAGGTTACTGAGGTGACACAGCTCACCATCTTGTCCAGATTCCGAGTTTCACCTGCTCTAACCTGTACTCAGCTGCTGTGCTTTTCTGTAGCAAGGTCCTCTGCACTTCTGACATGTTTCTTCAAGAAGGACCCCAGGCATCTTACTGGGTCACTGGTTCTCAGCGCCCCGTACTGCTCTCTGGCCTGGAGGACACGCTCTGGAAGGAAAGAAATGGGAACCACTCCCACCCTAGTCTCCCCGTCTCCTCTCTCACCGCTGGGACTGGTGAGGGACCGCCCTGCGGTCGGGAACCCCAGAGGGAACGGGGCGGGGCAGGGGGCGGAGCCAGAGCTCCCCAACTGAGGGCTGCGTCCCAGGGGCGGGGCCGGCGCGGAGTTTGGGAGTGGGCGGAGCCGGAGGCGGGTGCGCTGGGCGGGGCCGGCGCGGAGTTTGGGAGTGGGCGGAGCCGGAGGCGGGTGCGCTGGGCGGGGCCGGCGCGGAGTTTGGGAGTGGGCGGAGCCGGAGGCGGGTGCGCTGGGCGGGGCCGGCGCGGAGTTTGGGAGTGGGCGGAGCCGGAGGCGGGTGCGCTGGGCGGGGCCGGCGCGGAGTTTGGGAGTGGGCGGAGCCGGAGGCGGGTGCGCTGGGCGGGGCCGGCGCGGAGTTTGGGAGTGGGCGGAGCCGGAGGCGGGTGCGCTGGGCGGGGCCGGCGCGGAGTTTGGGAGTGGGCGGAGCCGGAGGCGGGTGCGCTGGGCGGGGCCGGCGCGGAGTTTGGGAGTGGGCGGAGCCGGAGGCGGGTGCGCTGGGCGGGGCCGGCGCGGAGTTTGGGAGTGGGCGGAGCCGGAGGCGGGTGCGCTGGGCGGGGCCGGCGCGGAGTTTGGGAGTGGGCGGAGCCGGAGGCGGGTGCGCTGGGCGGGGCCGGCGCGGAGTTTGGGAGTGGGCGGAGCCGGAGGCGGGTGCGCTGGGCGGGGCCGGCGCGGAGTTTGGGAGTGGGCGGAGCCGGAGGCGGGTGCGCTGGGCGGGGCCGGCGCGGAGTTTGGGAGTGGGCGGAGCCGGAGGCGGGTGCGCTGGGCGGGGCCGGCGCGGAGTTTGGGAGTGGGCGGAGCCGGAGGCGGGTGCGCTGGGCGGGGCCGGCGCGGAGTTTGGGAGTGGGCGGAGCCGGAGGCGGGTGCGCTGGGCGGGGCCGGCGCGGAGTTTGGGAGTGGGCGGAGCCGGAGGCGGGTGCGCTGGGCGGGGCCGGCGCGGAGTTTGGGAGTGGGCGGAGCCGGAGGCGGGTGCGCTGGGCGGGGCCGGCGCGGAGTTTGGGAGTGGGCGGAGCCGGAGGCGGGTGCGCTGGGCGGGGCCGGCGCGGAGTTTGGGAGTGGGCGGAGCCGGAGGCGGGTGCGCTGGGCGGGGCCGGCGCGGAGTTTGGGAGTGGGCGGAGCCGGAGGCGGGTGCGCTGGGCGG